TTCTAGCACGTTACCAAGAGCTTCTCCACATTTTTGCAAAAGATCGTATTGGCCTTCTTTCATCAGAACTCGCAACATCTCACCCACCTGGGCTAGCTTCTAAATCGATTGATCAGTGTACTGCCAAAAATGGTGACAATTCAACTTACTCCTTCGCTAAACTGATATGCCTCCTTAGTTCTATCTTGCGCCAGTACGTCTTCTGGTGGTGCGCTAATGTCGGGTGCTGTCCGGGTTGGGGAACCATCGCGCGGGACATTGCTTTCTACATACATTTCAGCTGACGTTCCAACATCTTCCATCACGCTGTATAAGGGCCCTGGTTGGCTGTTCGCAGATCCAAGTAAAAGGCGAGCTGAAACGTCCGAATAGAAGACAACTGCGAGACTTGCATGTGACCGCACCTTCTTCAACAAATGTAGCGACTGCATGAGCGTGGATGCACGACACACCTGCTTGATAGGCCTCATGGCAGTTACAACTTACCTGGTATGCGCATATGCCGCATCTCTGGCAGTGGGAGTTCAACTAAATTTGAGTATAGTGACATGCTGGAACGTGTCAGAGCCATACTAGACCGAATACCTTGTTATCGCAGTCGCAGGGAGAGCCTATAACTACTTCATAGCTGACATCCGTCCGAGTTCCACAGAATACTTTCCAACGATTATCACCTTCTTTCACGATAGCATCCTAAAACAATTATCAATGAGAGACGTTACTTCTAAATTAGGTTGAGACAGCGTACCGGTTTCTGTGCATAGCTTGACAACGCATTCTTATGGCGCAGCATATTCCGTCTGCGACGTCCTGAGACGTCGGATGCATCTCGCACACTCTGAACTTTATATAAAAGAATTAACCAACATTTGATACGAAAAGGAACTGACCGAGGCAATAAGCTGAAGGTTCCTGTCTTCTCCGTGCTTCAACAAAGTATGTGTGAGGGTGTCCAGCCTTCCGTTCTGCTTACTTCTTAATAGAGCATGTTTCAACATGCAGTGCCAAGATTCTAGGTGGTTCGATGTTGTAAAGCGAGCGTCTCGACGGTAGCAAGCCGCCCATTCACGCCTTCTTCCCGAGTAGTTCCGTTCAATGTACTGAAATGCTCAAAATAGATATAGTATGAGCGGTAAACAGTCATACCGTGAGCATCTCTGTAGCTCCCATAGAAGATAGCCAAGTCATGTAAGCCGCAAACTTGCTCTCAAACCTCGGAATCTCAACCTCGAATAACACTGCTTGAAACAATCGGTTCGCGATATCGACATCCGCACCCTATACATTTTTTGGTGAACACATTATCAAAGGAGTTGGTCAATGAAAGTTGCATCACACCGTTAAAACTTCTTTGTGCTTTCTTTGGAGAGTCTGACCAATATGGAATGAGCATAAGATCTTTTCTGCTGAGCTGTTGGTAAATACTTCCTTGAACGCGTTGTAGAATACATATGT